CATTGAGAACTTGTGGTCAGTCCTCAAGAGGCGGGTGACCAAAAACCCCCACAAATTCTGACAAACTCCAAGCATTGATTATGCAAGAATGGGCGACCATCAGTCAGGATGTGGCCCAGAAGTTGACTGACAGCATGCCAGGGTTACATAGTTACATATAGTTAGTCTGGCAGAAAAAAAGACAAAAGTCCATCCAGGGCAACCATTAACCCCCCCTGTCGGTATTCCTGAGTGTCGCTCGGGGTAAAGTTTCAGCACCACAAGCGGTAACCCTGAGCTGTACTCAAGAATACACTGCAGTGTTGCTCCGGGATCTCTTCTTCACTTACCTTGTCCTGCACTCCCGTGATGTCCCTCCTGCAGTGTCCCCGGCAATGTCCTCCAGCCAGGGGCGGACTGACAACTCATGGGGCCCCCGGGCAATAAGGGATGATGGGGCCCCTGTGTCCTTGCCCAAACTCAAAAAAGCCTATTAAAAAGGTACCAGGGGCATCTCATGGGGCCCCCTACTGACCGCGGGCCCTCGGGCAGTGCCTGAGTTTCCAAATGGTCAGTCCGCCCCTGCCTCTAGCAGATCTGTCTTCCGGGCAATGTCCTCCAGCCAGGGGCGGACTGACAACTCATGGGGCCCCTGGGCAATAAGGGATGATGGGGCCCCTGTGTCCTTGCCCAAACTCAAAAAAGCCTATGAAAAAGGTACCAGGGGCATCTCATGGGGCCCCCTACTGACCGCGGGCCCTCGGGCAGTGCCTGAGTTTCCAAATGGTCAGTCCGCCCCTGCCTCCAGCAGATCTGTCTTCCGGGTTCTGTTCCCTGCGATGTCGGGACGTATGGGGGACGGAACGGCAGGAAATTTGTAAAAGTGACATTCACTAAATACACTAAAATCACATAGTATAACATTCCTGCATCAAACCATTTCACATACATTTTGTCCCGAGTGCTTTGTCCGGCGCCCTGCCTGCATTTTTACTGTTCTTTCTGCCTGGAAACTGAGAAACGTCCATGGCGTCCAAAAAGCGTCCCTTTAGGTCAAAAGCGGATTTAGATCGGCTAGAGAACAGCGATAGTAAATCAGAACCACTTGCAGAATTGAGTGATAATGATTCGTGGGGGAAATTCCTCATCAGACACTGAAAACGATTCTGCAACTTTGCTCAGTGATGTGCGAACTTGGCGCTATATTTCACATTTCAGTGTTTTTTGGTTTGATTATATTATTGAATTAAATTTATTATTATATTTTTTTTATGATTATTTATTAAATTATAATTTATGATTTCGTGTTTCAAGTTTTATCATACCCGGGATGTTTACTAGACTCTTGTTCAGACAGATTTCAGTGAGTTATTTCTAAAAATTACAGGCCTACAATAAAAAAACTACATATTTCCATGCAAAACAATGTACCGCTTTGAGCACAGAAATATGGACATAATCAGACCGCTAGGGAGATTACAGAAAAAAAAAAGTTATAATCCTACACCCACAGTTGATCCAGAGGAAGGCAAAAAAAACAGCAAAGCATGATCCAATTTGCTCCTGCTGGGAAAAAATTCCTTCCTGATCCCCCGAGAGGCAATCGGATATTCCCTGGATCAACTTTACCTATTTAAAAAAAAAAAACCCACAATGGAAGCCACCACATCATGCAGCCACCTCAGGGTGCTCTGCAGAGGTCTAAAAAAGAAGGGTCAACACTGCAAATATTGAGGGCTGGTTCACACTATAGAAACGCAGATTAGATGCGTTCTGGATGCGTTTTTTGAATGCTCTTTTTTGGCGCATTCTGGTGCATTTTTTTATGTGTTTTTTACACTTTTTTATACATTCTAGTTCATTTTTTCCCCTCTCCTTTTCTTCAATTTAAATAGTGCGTTTTTGATGCGTTTTACTGTGATCAAGTACAGTTCTGTGCAGAAAAAATGCAGCCTATTCTACTTTTTTTTTCTGCATCCGGAACGCACTGGAGTTGCAAGCGCTGGTGTGAACTATGACATTGACCACCATATGATCTACTTTCTGTGTGTTTTGGATGCAGAAAAAAAAAAGCAACTGAAATGCATGGAGTGTGAACCGGCCCTGACTCTTTGCACAACCTTCATGTAATTGGCAATGAAAGCCTCTGACACCTATGAGATGCCTGTAATGATACTTCAGTATACCAGAGTAACATCTGACAATTAATAATAATATTTGTGTCACTCTCAAAACTTGTAGAAGCTGCAGCAAGCCATATAAATCCCACCTCATTTCCTGGCTGGAGGGTGTCCAGTATCATCTAGCCCTTTCCCCCCTGGCCCCGCCCCTTGTCATACATTGGATTTCAGTGTTACATGAGGTCATTATAAGCCTGCCTTGGAACGCCCACTTCTCCAAACTGATACCCACCTATCAAGGCATTTTAATATATTTGCATGACTGCTCCCGAGGTCCAGCCCACTGCTTACCTCAGTACTGAGGCAGGGTGCTGTGATGGTTTCTGCCCCTCCCAACAGCTATGATTTGCCTACATTGCATAGATAAGCACAGGGACCCAGTGATGACATCATAGGGCACCTTATTTTAGACCCAATGTAATGGAAACAGGTTTTATTTAGAAATGTCATTAGCATGTTGTTGATGAGGAAGGGGAGGGACCAGGCAATAGGAGAATAAACTTCAGCTGTTTCCAAAAAATGAACCCAACATGAAAACCCCTCTGATATCCCAGTTACCATGTCTTCAATTATTATGGGATGACTTGTTTTGTATTGCTTTCTGTTCTTATGTATTCTAATCAATGTATTTTCTCCCCTGTCTGTGCGACTTCGGGATTTTCCTGTGTGCCGCAGGCTCAGGTAAGACCATCCGCATCGCTGCTGTTGGATTGTTTTCTCTTCATTCATTCCCAATGTACTAAACCAATCGCTGTCCGTTGTAGAAGTTTACCTAAACATAGCTAAAGCTGAGCTCCAGGCAAACCGCTAAACATACAGTACATGGACACTGCTTTACCTGCACAAAGATCTGTATATCTGTCCATCCTGACCTGAGATTTACTCAGCTCCGCCACACAGCACTGGCAGGGCAGGAAACCTGATTTTTATTCTGCTGCAGTTCAGTAACACTTACAGGTCTTCTCCTTCTCCTAGTCTGACTGGACAGTGATAAGGGAAGCAGCAGATTGATGATCTCACCTCTCTGCTCTCTCCTCCTATCAGCATGCTCCTTGCACTGCAACACAGCTGATGGTTTCCTTGTGTTCCTTCTCAACGTCTAAGCTCTGCAGTACAAGAGGCTCATACCAAGTCAGCAGGTCCTTTCACTGCTTGTTTTTTTTTTTAATGCACATACTGGTCTATTAATTAATACAGGGCGGCATTTTTTTGTGCCTTTTTATATCTGCATGGAGTCCAGCTTTAAAACAGAAACTTTGTTTTCATTTTGTATAAAACACATATTTACATTTTTGCTGTCAGGTAAATATTAAATATTGCGTATGGATATTTCATTTAATTTCCAGCCAACATATGGTAATCTAGGCTCTATTTCATGTGTTTACCTGTCTAGTCGTAGCTGCTCTGTTTAAAAAAAAAAGTTGCTTACAGAGCTCACTAGCTAAAGCTGCAAATTATATGCACAGCTAAAGGAGTCAGACTCATCTTCCATCACCTTTAATTGATCAGTCAGCAGGGCGTGACACTAAGTCAGGCCATACATGGGCCGATTTTCAAACGATTTTTCGTTCGAAAAATCGGACCTAAGAATAAGCGGCTGATTTTTGCTCTGTTAGTGGGGCAATGGCACCGGCCGATTTTTGTGGCTCCTCCCCATTTCATTTATCGGGCATGCTGGAAAATTCATGAAAAATGACCGATTTTCGAAATCATTGGTGGCACCATTGGATTACAGAACGAATGATGTTTCTGATTTTTCGATCAAAAAATCGTTCAGAATTCGACCCATGTATGGCTTATTTAGTTTGCAGCTTATTTAGTTTGCTTAAGCTATAGAGCTCTGTAAGCAACAAGCCTTCTCAGCAAAGCAGTTAGGATTAGCCTGGCAAACATGTAAAAACTTAGCTTAAGCAGTAAGCGCCATTTTTACATGTTTGCCAGGCTAATCCTAACTGCTTTGCTGAGAAAGCTTGTTGCTTACAGAGCTCTATAGCTTAAGCAAACTAAACAAGCAGCTGAGTGAATTAGCAGAGTGATTCATCTCCGCTCCCTTCCCTCTCTGCTCTCTACATATGGGTTTTCAATTAAAGAGGGATAGTCTGAAAGGAAACCGCTTCTGCTGTGATCTCTCTATAAACAGACCATAATGATTCATGTCCCTAGTGTCATGGGTGCACACTTAGTAGTCTATGTATGACATTGCCATGCAGATGCCTCAAGCATTCACACATGCACAACAAATGATCCCTTGTTTGCAACATGATGATCTCCTATGATCATCAGCTCCATCTAGTGGCCATAAGGCAGTATTTTTTTTTTTTTAATTTAGCTACTTCAGAAAAATCCAATATTATGGCCAGTAGATGGAGCCAACAATGATTGAAGAGAATCAGATTACAACAAAATAGGGATCATCATTGTACCTGTGCGAATGCGTAAGATATCTGCGTGATTTTTTTTTTTTATACACAGACCCCTTAAATGTATATTTGTAAAATAATGACTAGCTATAAATAGTAAAAGACACTAATCTCTCAATAATATGGGGGGGGGGGGGGGGATGCTGCTGCTGCTGCTGTGATACCTCAATGAGTAAACAAGATTATTTCAGCACAGCTGAGAGTGATGATACAATGCTGCACATTTGAAGGGGAGGATACGGCTCCCCCTGCTGGCTGGATTGAACAGTGCATTAAAGTAATTCAAATATTTCATATTTACCTGAAATAAAATGAATATTTGTAAAATGGTATCATGAATTCTGAGCACTACCATAAATACAGATCAGGCCAGGGTCATGTTCCCATAAATCCAGACATCACTCTGTGCTACGCTCTGCAGGTGTACGAAGTGGTGCCGTGTCACAGCGATTGCAACCAATACGTGTGGATTGCCGAAGCCTGGAGTATCTGTAAAGTCACCAATGTTGATCTGAAGCAGAACTGCGGAGAAGGAGTCCAGACGAAAAAAGTCAGGTGGGTGTGCTGGGTCGCTGGCTGTTTTGGGGGAACGCAGGCAGGTTCAGGGACCCGCTGGATGTCTTGTTCCATTCCTGTTCAGTTCATAGTGGATAGGCAGACATCTTAAAGCGGTAAAACACCCAAAAGCAAATATTTATTAAGCTGTACTTTACCGATTCCAGGATGTGATGGCTGCATTCGTTTCCTTTTTTTAGGCTATTTTCATCCAGTGATCCTGCCAATAGGTTTGTTGTTTTTCAAAAGCACAAGCTCTCCTGCAGAATGTATCAGTTTGCATGGATGAGATAAACCACATACAGTTGCAAGAAAAAGTATGTGAACCCCTTGGGATTACGTGGAGTTTTGCATGAATTGGGCATAAAATGTGCTCTGAACGTCATCTAAGTCACAACAATAGAAGAACACAGTCTGCTGAACATAATACTACACAAACATTAGATGTTGCCATGGTTTAATTGCACATAACATGTAAACATTCACAGTGCTGGGAGGAAAAAGTATGTGAGGCCCTAGCTTAATGACTTCTCCCAGAGCTAATTGGAGCCAGGAGTGAGCCAACCTTGACTCCAATCAGTGTGATGATATTGGATGTGTTGCTGACAGCTGTCCTGCCCTTAAAAAACACACTCCTGTTTTGGGTTTACTGGTTTCAAGAAGCACTGTCTGATGTGAACCATGCCTCGCAGAAAAGAGCTCTCAGAAGACCTACGATCAAGAATTGTTGACTTGCATGAAGCTGGAAAGAGTTACAAAAGTATCTCCAAAAGCCTTGATGTTCATGTGTCCACGGTAAGAAGTCTACAGACTGTCTACTAAAGAGAAATGGAGTGGAAAAGTTTAGCACTGCATCTTTATTGCTACACCTCCCTAGGGCTTGTCTGAGAGTCCACAGCGCCTTTTTTTCCAGTCATGTCAGCTGTGATTAAAAATGGAGTGGCCTCTCTGCTCATTTGTAAGAGCTACTCTCCCACAGCGCAGACTGCAATGGAATGCATGAGGTAAAGAAGAATCCCAGAGTGTCAGCTAAAGACCTACAGAAATCTCTGGCACATGCTAACATTTTTGTTGACACATCTACAATAAGGAAAACATTAAACAAGAATGGAGTACATGGGAGGACACCACGGAGGAAGCCATTGCTGTCCAAAAAGAATATTGCAGCACGTTTGAAGTTTGCAAAAGAGCACCTGGATGTTCCACAGCACTACTGGCAAAATATACTGTGGACAGATGAAACCAAGATTGAGTTGTTTGGGAAGAACACACAACACTATGTGTGGAGAAAAAAAGGCACAGCACACCAACATCAAAACCTCATCCCCACTGTAAAACATGGCGGAGGGAGCATCATGGTTTAGGGCTGCTTTGCTGCCTCAGGGCCTGGAAGGATTGCTGTCATTGATGGGAAAATGAATTCCAGAGTTTATCAAGACATTTTGCAGGAAAACGTACGAACATCTGTCCGCCAACTGAAGCTCCGCAGAGGATGGGTGATGCAACAGGACAATGACCCAAAGCATACAAGTAATTCAACAAAACAATGGCTGCAACAGCACAGAATACGCCTTCTGGAGTGGCCCAGTCAGAGTCCTGACCTCAACCCGATTGAAATGCTGTGGCATGACCTTAGAGAGCGATTCACACCAGACATCCCAAGAATATTGCTACACTGAAACAGTTTTGTGAAGAGGAGTGGTCCAAAATGACTCCAGATCGTTGTGCAGGTCTGATCTGCAACTACAGGAAACATTTGGTGGAGGTTATTGCTGCAAAAAGGAGGGTCAACCAGTTATTAAGTCCAAAGGTTCACATACTTTTTCCTCCCTGCACTGTGAATGTTTACATGTAATGTGCAATTAAACCATGGCAACATCTAATGTTTGTGTAGTATTATGTTCAGCAGACTGTGTTCTTCTATTGTTGTGACTTAGATGACGTTCAGAGCACATTTTATGCCCAATTCATGCAAAACTCCACGTAATCGCAAGGGGTTCACATACTTTTTCTTGCAACTGTAACATTGCCAGGGGTGATTAGAATGATCCGCTTCTATTTATTCATGTATAATCTTTATCCCAAAAAGAAAAAACTGTTTGCTGTAACGGATTATAAAGTGTGACTTCAGTTTGTTAGTGTATATAAAGTGTTACTAAACCCACAACAGTACAATCAGTCTGTATATACAGTAAAGCATGCTTGTTATACTCACTGTGGAACCTAAGGGGTTAATCCTCTGCATTGTGTAAAAAGGCTGTTTGATCCTGACTTCTCTGATCCCCCCTTCTTCTAGTGTCCCCCTCTTATCTCCTGATAAGACACTGGTGTGGAGACACTCTGCACATGCCCAGTTTGGTGTGTATTGCTAGAGAGGTTTTTTTTTTTTTTTTTTCTTGGTTGAGTGAAATTCAAGGAAGTGACCCTTTCCGAAAAAAAAAAAGGCTAACATCTATTTTCATGTTTATAGATTAGCCAAAAGAATTAACCTCTGAGAATGATGCTACCCTAACTTCATTTTTTAATTCAAAAAGCCTTGCTGTGCTATTATATAATAATTGCTTTTTCATCAAATTATAATCAGTGAATTTCCCATTGACCCCAGTGGCTAATAAAGCCCTCTAGAACTGCCATCTGCTGGCCATAGAAGGAACTGCAAACACATTTGTTTTTATCATTCCACCGTATTTTTCAAGCCGTGCTCTAGAATCAAATAATGTACGTATTTGATACATAGAATAATAGGAATTGCTATTTGTTTTAAAGTTCAGTGTTGTGTATGTCTGCCTAGGCAAGGGTCAGCAAGGTTTTTCACATTATCTATACAAGCATTGGACAATCGGCATGCCAGTGAACAATAGTGCATCGCAGGCGTAGTTTTGTTTTCAATTTTTGTGCTCGTAATGGCAAACTAAACTCATAATTGTTATATAATAGATGAGTTTAACCTGCCATTAGCATTACGAATATGACTGCAATATTTAAATAAAGGACACTTGAATAACACATGGGGGGGATTTACTAAAACTGGTGCACTCGGAGTCTGGTGCAGCTGTGCATGGTAGCCAATCAGCTTCCAGCCTCAGCTTGTTCAATTAAGCTTTGGTAATAGAACCTGGAAGCTGATTGGTTTCTTTGCACAGCTGCACCAGATTTTTCACTCTCCATGTTTAGAAACCCCCCACAGCATCTTCAGTACCAATATATAAATGTAAGACTTTGAATCAGCTCCAGTGGATGCACTCCATACATCAGATCCGCCCTAATGCATGCACCTTTAGAGCCCAGATCTGCCCCAATCCATGCACCTTAAGGCTACGTTCACACTAGCTTTGTCATCAGGCGTCAGACAGCCGTTTGGGAAGCATTTTTAATGCTTCTCAAATTCTACACATGGCAGCATACAGTGCTGTTCACACTGAAGTGTTAGCGTTGTGTTGCGGCAAAACTGACGCCTCATGTTGAGTCCTGAAGAGTTGAAGCCTCCCATTCAAGTCTATGGTGCCGCTCCTCAAATTCCTGGCAGGCGTTTGTGGGGCGTTTGCAAGGCGGTTGCAAGGCATTTTTGGAGCATTAACCCCCCTAGTGGTATTCCCGAGTGTAGCTCGGGGTAAAGTTTCAGCACCACAAGCGGTAACCCCGAGCTACACTCGGGAATACACTGCAACGCTGCTCCGGCATCTGCTCTTCTCTTACCTTGTCCTGCGCTCCCGCAATGTCCCTCTTGCAGTGTCCCCGGCAATGTCCTCCGGCCGATTCCGGCATCTGTCATCTGGGTTCTGTCCCCTGCGAGCGTCGGGACGGAACGGCGGGAAATTTGAAAATGTCAAAAAGTGACATTCAATAAATACACTAAAATTACATAGTATAACATTACTGTATCAAACCATTTCACATACATTTTGTCCCGAGTGCTTTGTCCTGCGCCCTGCCTGCATTTTTACTGTTCTTTCTGCCTGGAAACTGAGAAACATCCATGGCGTCCAAAAAGCGTCCCTTTAGGTCAAAAGTGGGTTTAGACCGGCTAGAGAACAGCGATAGTAAATCAGAACCACTTGCAGAATTGAGTGATAATGATTCGTGGGGGAAATTCCTCATCAGACACTGAAAACGATTCTGCGACTTTGCTCAGCGATGTGTGAACTTGGCGCTATATTTCAAATTTCAGTGTTTTTGGTTTGATTATATTATTGAATTAAATTTATTATTATTATATTATTATTTGTATGATTATTTATTAAATTATAATTTATGATTTTGTTTCAAATTTTATCCTACCCGGGATGTTTACTAGACTCTTGTTCAGACAGATTTCAGTGAGTTATTCCTAAATATTACAGGCCTACAATAAAAAAACTACATATTTCAATGCAAAAAAACTGTACCGCTTTAAGCACAGAAATATGGACATAATCAGACCGCTAGGGAGGTTAATACCATTTAACTTCAATATAGGAGTTTGTGGTGCGGTTTTAACGCTTGGCAAATGCCTATCAAATGCCTCAAAACCGTGCATGGGGCGTTTGGGGAGCGTTTGAGGAGCGTTAAAATTGCTTTCCAAACGCTTGTCAAACGCTATAGGGGCGTATGGCAAGAGTTAGAAATACGTCAGGTGTGAACGAGCCCTTAGACCTCAGATCTGCCCCAATGCATGCATCTTCAGACCTTAGATCCACCCCAATGCATGTACCTTCAGACCTTAGATCCACTCCAATGCATGTACCTTCAGACCTCAGATCCGCCCCAATGCATGCACCTTCAGACCTTAGATCCACTCAATGCATGTACCTTCAGACCTTAGATCCACTCCAATGCATGTACCTTCAGACCTCAGATCTGCCCCAATGCATGCATCTTCAGACCTTAGATCCACTCCAATGCATGTACCTTCAGACCTTAGATCCACCCCAATGCATGTACCTTCAGACCTTAGATCCACCCCAATGCATGTACCTTCAGACCTTAGATCCACCCCAATGCATGTACCTTCAGACCTTAGATCCACTCAATGCATGAACCTTCAGACCTTAGATCCACCCCAATGCATGTACCTTCAGACCTTAGATCCACTCCAATGCATGTACCTTCAGACCTCAGATCCGCCCCAATGCATGCACCTTCAGACCTTAGATCCACTCAATGCATGTACCTTCAGACCTTAGATCCACTCCAATGCATGTACCTTCAGACCTCAGATCTGCCCCAATGCATGCATCTTCAGACCTTAGATCCACTCCAATGCATGTACCTTCAGACCTTAGATCCACCCCAATGCATGTACCTTCAGACCTTAGATCCACCCCAATGCATGTACCTTCAGACCTTAGATCCACCCCAATGCATGTACCTTCAGACCTTAGATCCACTCAATGCATGAACCTTCAGACCTTAGATCCACCCCAATGCATGTACCTTCAGACCTTAGATCCACTCAATGCATGAACCTTCAAACCTAAGATCAGGCCCAGTGCATGCATTTCAGACATCAACTCAGTTTTGATGGATGCATTTCAGACATCAACTCAGCCCCAATACATGCACTTTAGACTTTAGATCAGCCCCAAGGCACACACCTTCAGACTTCAGATCTGCTCCAATGCATGCACCTCCGGATCAGCCCCAGTGTATGCAATTCAGACCTCAGATCAGCCTCTGTATATGCAGTTCAAACCTCAGATGAGCCCCAGAGTATGCATTTCAGGCCTCGAATCAACTCCAATGCATGCACTTTATACATCAGATCATCCCCAAACACTGTAACTTAGGAAGAGCAGGGTATTGGATCGATATAGGCGGGTTGGCACAGCTCACCAAAACTGCTGTAAGTTAGATTAGAATGTAGCACAAGACCATTTCCTCAATGATTACAGACTGGTGCAGTTTAGTTGTCCTTGTCTTTCAGTAGATCTAGGGTGGGGGGCTATGAGCCATGTGCACAAGATAGAGGAAGGAGGTGCCCAATGAGAGAAGACTCAGGCAAAATGCATCATTCAAAAATTGGCTTTCAAAATCCTCATCTTGATATCTCTCCAGAGTTCTGTGCAGAGTCCATTCTCTATATATGTGTGTTTTTCATTCCTCGCCCATCAGGTGCCTACAGAACACGGTGGATGGTCCGGCCGATGTGGTTGAAGACTACCTGTGTGAGCCGGAGGAGATGCCGCTGGGAGCCAGGAACTGCAGGCTGCCTTGTCCTGAGGACTGCGTCATGTCAGAGTGGAGTCCATGGAGCAAATGTCACCTGGTAAGGGGTGCAGGCCTGAGGGGGGAGGTCACGGGAAAAGCTGGATTCTACCTATCCCTTGCCTTAGGCCCCATTCACAATTAAGTGTTTTGTAGTGTGAAAATCGAAGCTCCAAAATGCAAAATGTGGAAAAAAATCAATAATACTCTATGGAGAGGGTTCACATCTGCACTTCAAGTCACCTGAAGCAGAACGCCTGAAGCTCAAAAAAAGTTTTGGAGCTACTTTTGTAGCTCAAATTGGGCATATTTGCACATTATTGGTGCGTTTTTATTCTCATAGAAAAGAATAGAAATGCGCAATTGGGGCTCTTTAACGCGCGCATCGCGTGATTTTCTGATCATATGAAAATATGTTTTAAAAAATAGTAACAATATATAAATAAATGTAAAATAAATAAAAATCATGATAAATAATAAATAAATAATAATTAACCCCTGGCACCATCGGATTACCGAGCAAATGACATTTTTGATTTTCGGATGAAAAATCGTTTGGAATTTGACCCAATCTGCGAGTGTGTATGTTAAGTTAACGACACCCTGAAATCGGTCTGCAGAACGCAGTGCGATGTGCAGAATCGGATCGCATAGGTGTGAATACCCATGCGATCCGATTCTAGTGCACACCCAAAAAAGGGTCCTGCACCTTTTTGGTGCGATTTGAGCCATACAAAATGTATGGCTCAAATGGCACCGCACAGAATTTGCATGCGATTTGCACAGGAATGCGGTTCCTGTGCGAATCACATGCGATATACCTCCCCGCATGGGAAAAAAAAGTCGAAAAAAAAAATGCCTGTAGTTCTAATTAAATCAGAAACTGTTTTCAGGGGTTCTAAATATTCCCATCATTTCATTCTTCTACATTTCCTAACATCAGCACAGTGCTCTGTGACAAGCAGGCGGGCGTCCTAATTGAATATGTATTTCTCCTGCTAGTGAGGATAAAGGAACTAATAAGATGTCAGAGGATGGGTGGCCATTAGAATACTAATTGTATTGTGCGTCTGGCACACTGCAGGCAGGTACAGAATGGGCGAGCGCTAATTAGTATGTAAATACCCGCATTGAGATGCATTCGCAAGGACGGAGGTCTGGCAAGGAGGTCTATGAGATTAATTAGGAAGGGAATTTAAAAAATAAAAAAATATTTATGTAAACTAAAGCTAAAGAGTCAATGCAGCTTGCATGGGAGATTTAACGGAAATGATTCACTTCCAGCATACCTATATCCCCTTACTGACAATGATGTAACAAGGAAGATGTATGGGAGGGATATAGAATATGCAGGGATTAGCCACCAACACAAAGCTTTCCAATTCTCATTTTATCACGTGAAAGTGGAGAGTTTTCTTTACCCCAGGTTCACACTTAAGCGTTTTCCGTAGCGTTTTGCAGAAACGCCCTACAGTCCATTTAACATGATTTCCTATGGGACACGTTCACATCTCCGAGTCTTCACCCCAGTGCATTTTTTGGAAAGGGTCAGGGACTTTTTTGAAGATGAAACAGGAAGGCGCTTCTAAGTGCAGTATTCCAAGGTCAACGTTTAATAAAATTGGTTAACCACTTGCCGTCCGCCTGCTGTTTATAAACGGCAGGACGGTGACACTCCAGGGGCGGGTTGGCGTTCATAAACGGCACCCGCCATTTCTAGCTGTGCACGCTCCCTGGGAGCGCGTAGCACCCGATCCGGTGCCCACTGTGTCCTTTGAACACAGTGAAACACTGATCGTCGGACGGGACCTCTGTACGAGGTCCCGATCATGTGATCACTGATTGGCCAATCAGTGATCACATGCAAAGTAGTAAGCAAGATGTCACTTGTGACATCATTGCTTACTACATGTGAAATCTGTGAATGACCACAGAGGTCACATGGTAAAAGGCTATTCACAACAGCCTTGTACCATGTGACAAGCTGTGACCAATCACAGCTCACTCAGTAGTTCTCAATGGCTGCAAGAATGCAGACAGAGAGAAAGAGAAATGATTGCTTTTATATTCCATATGGGTGTAAAAGCAATCACTGTAAAAAAAAAAAAATCTTCATCACCCCCCACAAGTAGTAGTGTCACCATGGTGACACTGTACTGCTAGGGTGACAGTATGTAAAAAAAAAATAAATATTGTAAAAAAATAAAATAAAAATGTAAAAAAAAAGTTTATAAATTATAATTTTTGGTTATAAACTAATTTGGCTTATTTTTTTTTTTTACTAAAAAGATAACGGAATACATTTTGGCTACGATTTATGATGAAAGATTATTTATTTGCAAAATTTTATAAGAAAAACACTTTTTTTCAACATTTTTGGACATTTTCATTTACATAGCAAAAAAAATAAAAAATCCAGCAGTGAATAAATACTACCAAAATAAAGCTTTATCTGTCTCAGAAAAATGGTAAAAAATTCATATGGGTACAGTGTTGCATGACCGCGCAATTGTCATTCAAAGTGTGATAGCGCAGAAAGCAGGTGCATTGAAATTGCATCTGGGCTCCTGGGCATCCACCAGCCTGTAGGATCCTGCCTACAGTAAATGCTCTGTGGTATCATTACTGACACTAAATGACAGCTTCCCACCAGCTTGTTTCAAATTGTAAACAAACCAGCGGGGATGCAGGGTGATGTCATTGACCAAATTGGCAAATCACAATTATAGTTCAAAAAGAAGAAAAAAAACCCATAGTACTCCCTGTTTATGTAAAACTATCCATAAAACTTTTATTAAAATACACTCACAATCTTAAAATCAAACCAAGCTTTACATTCATTGTGCACAAGAACAGGGACAGCTGTCACCGCTCATCGCTGCTGTCTGAGACTCAATGTCAATGGACTGGCAGCTGCCCCTGCTCTTCTTTCCTCATCTGCAAACCAGACTGACAGGTTTTGGTGATCCTGCCTACAGGATATGCTCTGTTGTATCCTTTCTGCCAATAAATGACAGCTTCCCGCCAACTTGTTTCAAACTGTAAACAAGCCAGCGGGGATGCAGGGTGATGCCATTGACCAAATTTGCAAATCACAAATATAGTAAAAAAAGAAAAAAATCCATAGTGCTCTCCATTTGTGTAAAAATATCCATACAACTTTTAGTAAAATGCACTCACAATTTTAAAACCAAACCATGCCTTACGTCGATCGTACACAAGAGCGGGGTCAGCGCTCACCACTTCTGTGAACACTGCCCGAGACTCGGCGTCAATGGATCAATGGCTGCTGCTGCTTCACCTCCCCCATCTGCAAGCAAAACTGACAGGTCTTGGTGCTTCTACCTGCAGTATATGCTCTAATGTATCCTTACTGACACTAAATGACAGCTTCCCACCAGCTTGTTTCAAATTGTAAACAAACTAGCGGGGTTGCAGGGTAACTTCATTGACCACATTGACAAATCACAAATGTAGTTCAAAAAGAAGAAAAAAATAACAATAGTACTCCTTGTTTGCGTAAAAGTATCCATAAAACTATTATTAAAATGCTCTTGCAATCTTAAATCCAAACCAAGCTTTACGTTCATTGTGCACACCCATATGGCAGAAAAATATATTTGAAATATATTTTAAAAATATTCTTCCCAAATATAGTGACATATATTTGAAATGCTACAATTTTGGCCATATTCAATATATTCCAATTAATATATATATATATATATACTGTATGTTGAAATGCGTTCTTATTACAAAATATATGAAAAATATTTTTAAAAATACATTTCAAATATACTGTATGTCTTTAAAAATGCAAATCTTTTAAATATGTTCTTCAGATTTTTTTAACATATAAAAAAGTAATTTTAACATATATTTTTACATATATTTGTAAATGCATTCCAAAAATGTAGATTTGTATTTTTTAAAGACATACAGTATATTTGAAATGTATTTTTTAAATATTTTTCATATATGCAGTAAAATAAATATGATACAGAACTTAAAATTAAGTACAATTAAAACATTACAGTAATAACTCATAATATACTGTATATAATAATATGATTATGATCACTAAAAAGGCATTATAGTTTTTATTTATTTATAGAGATGCTTTTACTCTTACATCTCCACCCAAAACCATTTTTATATTTTTCTTTTTTTTTTATATTTCAGGAAGATATGGTAGTTCCCATTTAAACAGCACAAAGAACTACAAAAAAAAAAAAGAACAGGAGAAAAAAATTAACATTTTTTCCCTCATTTAAATATTATAATTAAGTTGCTAACTTGCCTAAATACCATCATTATGTCTGAAAGAGGCTCATTATCATGCAAATGGCGCTGTGTTTCCCCATAATGACATGTTTAGCGGTTTAATTCTCTGCTTGAGTCTGAGGTTGTTGTTTGTTTAATTTGCTTGTCTGATGCTGGATTGTGTGTTTGCAGACTCGGCTTTTATTATGGGAAAAGCCTTTCCGCCTCACCCAGGAAATTTTTTTTTTTTTGCCTTGAAATATTTTGCTTAATGTTATTTATCATCAATTCCGATTTTTGTTTTCCAGCCTTGTGACGGAACTGGCATACGCGATCGGTCAGCGATCCCCATCAGACAGGCTGAGGAAGGCAAGGCTTGTCATATTGCCGCAGAGACCGAGCCGTGTACACTGAATAAGAACTGTTTCCATTACGAGTACAATGTCACAGGTATGACACCCATAGACCGATCGATTTATTATCAAGTATTTTAATTTAAAACTTAACGAAAATCATTTTCTTGGTGTCCATTTAGGGGCACATCAAATGGTATATTCTCATTGCACACATTTCTGGAAATCACTTGAAGGTGGTGCTGTAACTACCAGCTGGGAATCCGTATCAAAATACACTGCTCAAAAAAATGAAAAGAACACTTTGAAAACACATCAGATCTCAAAAGGGAAAAATATTATGCTGGCTATCTATACTGACATGGACGGGGTAATGTGTTAGGAACGTAAGGACGCCCCATCGTTTGATGGAAATGAAAATTATCAACCTACAGAGGACTGAATTCAAAGACACCCGAAAATCAAAGTGAAAAAAAATGATGCAGCAGGCTAGTCCATTTTGCTGAAATTTCATTGCAGCAACTCAGAATGGTCCTCAGTAGTTTGTATGGCCCCCTTGTGCTTGTTTGCATGCCTGACAACATCGGGGCATGCTCCTAATGAGATGATGGATGGTGTCCTGGGGGATTTCCTCCCAGATCTGGACCAGGGCATCACTGAGCTCCTGGACAGTCTGAGGTGCAACCTGGAGGCATCGGATGGACCGAAACATTATATGCCAGAGGTGTTCTATTGGATTTAGGTCAGGTGAGCGTTGGGGGCAATTCAATGGTATCAATTCCTTCATCCTCCAGGAACTGCCTGCATACTCCCCCCACATGAGGCCGAGCACTGTCATGCACCAGGAGGAGCCCAGGACCCACTGCACCAGCGTAGGGCCTGACAATGGGTCCAAGAATTTCATCCTAATGGCAGTCAGGGTGTCATTGTCTAGCCTGTAGAGGTCTGTGCATCCCTCCATGGATATGCCTCCCCAGACCATCACTGACCCACCACCAAAACTGTCATGCTGAATGATGTTACAGACAGCATAATGTTCTCCACGGCTTCTCCAGACCCTTTCATGTCTGTCACATGTGCTCAGGGTGAACCTGCTCTCATCTGTGAACAGCAGAGGGCGCCAGTGGTGGACCTGCCAATTCTGCTGTTCAATGGCAAATTCCAGTCAAGCTCTATGGTGCCAGGCAGTGAGCACAGGGCCCACTGGAGGACGTCGTGCCCTCAGGCCACCCTCATGAAGTCTGTTTCTGATTGTTTGGTCAGAGACATCCACACCAGTGGCCTGCTGGAGGTCATTTTTTAGGGCTCTGGCAGTGCTCATCCTGTTCCTCCTTGCAAAAAGGAATGGACACCAGTCTTGCTGATGGGTTCAGGACCTTCAATTGCCCAGTCCAGCCCTCCCAGAGTAACTGCCTGCCTCCTGGAATCTCCTCCATACTCTTGGGACTGTGCTGGGAGACACAGCAAACCTTCTGGCAATGGCACGTATTGATGTGCCATCCAGGAAGGAGCTGGACTGCCTGTGCAACCTCTGTAGGGTCCAGGTATGGCCTCATGCTACCAGTAGTGACACTGACCCTAGCCAAATGCAAAACTAGTGAAAAACAGTCAGAAAAGATGAATAGGGAAAGATGAGTGGCCTCCACCTGTAAAACCATTCCTGTTTTGGTGGTCGTCTCATTGTTGCCCATCTAGTGCTCTTGTTGTTAATTTCATTAACACCAAAGCAGCAGAAACTGATTACCAACCCCCTCTGCTACTTAACTGACCAGATCAATATCCCAGGAGTTTCATTGACTTGATGCTATACTCTGATTAAAAAGTGTTCTTTTAATTTTTTTTTTTTGAGCCGTGTATATAGAACGAACACACCATGGAACTTCAGACTAGTGTCCAAGCATGACTCAGTTTTGTAGCAAAGCAGTACCAAGAGCATGAACCTAAACATAGAGGAGTGGGACATGTGTCCTTAAATGAAGGTGAAAGCATATGCAGTATCTCCAGTAACATGCAAACACTTCCAGCGCTCATACACCTGATGTTTGGTGGACCATCGGCAATGAGTGCGAAAAAGCTCTTCTGGTAAGCTTTGTTAATGCAGTCCTCCTCAGACGGGGAAATCCAGTAGAAATTGTAAAAAAAGCATGCAGGAGGGTGCAAGCACCTAGTGCATTGTCAAAGGTTTATTGTATAAAAGACAAACAGCCAAAATCATACTCACAAAAGTAGAAAATACATGAGCGTTGTATTACACCAAATCACAATCCAGTGCAGATTTCACTTGGCCCAACCTGATGCACCACAACATTGGCAAACTGACGTGTTTTGGGGGGTGAACCCCCTTTCTCAGAGCTAAGCCAACTGCTCAACCATCCTCGTACATAAGTATAATAAAGTACATCACGGTCGTAAAAAGGCAATAGCCTGTGTGGCCATGCAGGACCCCATCATTGGGTATGTGACAATGAAGGTGTAAATACTTTAATAATACCAGCCCATACCAGAACCCCACCTCCATCTTGCAGGCGTCTGAGTCAAAATGGAGCTCTGTGCCCTTTACTGATCCAGCCACTGGCCCATCCATCTAATCCGTCAAGAGTCACTCTCATCTCATCAGTCCATAAAACCCTTGAAAAATCTGTCTTCAGATATTTTTGGCCCAGCCTTCTTTACCTTGGTCTCCGAACACTGAACACCTTGTACTTCTGGGCACTCCAGGTAGGTTGCAGTTCTGGAATATGACAACACTGGAGGATAACGGGCTTCTGGTAGCTTCAACTTTGATCTTTCTCAAATCTTTGGCAATTTTTTGGGGTCTTTTTTTCTCAACACGTTTCTTGCGACCCTGTTGACTATTTGCAACAAAACGTTTGATGGTTCTGTAATCACACCCTAATATCTTAACAAGTTCAAGAGTGCTGCATCTCTCTGAAATACTTTTTTAAATTTTTGACTTTTCAGACTCAGTTAAATCTCCTGTTTGGCCCATTTTGCCTGAGAAAAAGAAGCTGCATAATTTTGCACACCTTGATATAGGGTGGCCTCCCTCATTACATAAATACACATCACCTGATAGGCCTAAATCCAATAAGCATTTAGGTGTATACAGCTTGGAGTTGGACAATATGCAGAAAAATGATGATTTGGTCAAATAACTCACTTACCTAATAATTGTGCACACAGTGTATATGATTTTTGTATTGGGTTTAATGACACTTTGTAATATGTGGAAAATCTTTGTACTGTTTAAGAAACAAGTTGGCTCCATACTAACAGACCTATTGTGTGCTGCCTGCAGATTGGAGCACGTGTCAGCTCAGCGAAAAGGCCGTTTGTGGAAATGGCATCAAAACACGAATGTTGGATTGTGTGAGGAGCGACGGCAAGTCTGTTGACCTGAAGTTCTGTGAGGAGGTAGGTGTTTCTTAGATTGTGCCTGACATTTAAACCGGACGTTCAGTCAGTTTATACCTTTTATTCTCTTTGGCTTGTCTTACCCTCCTTTAAACTCCTTAGCGGTATTCCCGAGTGTAGCTCGGGGTAAAATTTCTATACCAAGAGCGGTAACCCCGAGCTACACTCGGGCTTACTATGCGGCGTTGCTCAGGGGGTCCCTGCAGCACTTACCTTGTTCTTCGCTCCCGCGATGTGTCCCCTGCAGCGTCCCCGGCCATCTCCTCCGGCCGTCGGGACGTACGGGCGCCGGCTGGCGGGAAATTTGAAATTTTTAAAAAATGTAATTTTTGCTGTCATTGCTGTTTCAATGCATTTCACATATATTGTGTCCCTACTGCTTTGTCCTGTGCCCTGCCTGCATTTTGACTGTTCTTTCTGCCTGGAAACTTAGAAAAGTCCATGGCGTCCAAAAAGCGTCCCTTCACATCAAAAGCGGTTTTAGAACAGTGATAGTAAATCAGAACCACTTGCAGAATTGAGTGATAATGATTCGTGGGGAAATTCGTCATCAGACACTGAAAACGATTTTGCGACTTTGCTCAGCGATGTGCGAATTTGCCTCTGTATTTCAAATTTCAGTGTTTTTGGTTTGATTAAATTATTGAATTAAATGTATTATTATTATATTATTATTTTTTATGATTATTTATTAAATTATAATTTATGATTTCGTGTTTCAAATTTTATCCTACCGGGGATGTTTACTAGACTCTTGTTCGTACAGATTTCAGTGAGTTATTCCTAAAAATTACAGCCTACAATAAAAAACTACATATTTCCATGCAAAAAAATGGTACCGCTTTCAGCACAAAAAATCGGAAAGAATCATACCGCCGAGGAGGTTAATATCATTGGTTAAAAAAATTATATATACCAACCCAGTTCCGGGACAAGATCATCCAGCGCCCAGGGAAAAGATGCCAAACTGGTCCCTCCTGTGAGCCTTGTAACAGAAGGAAGATGCCTCCACCCCTACAGTAAACCATTGCGCCCTGAGCAGCCATCTCTCCTGCCCACTCCTTATCCCGGCCCTGTATCTACCTCTGAATCTTTTATTTCTTGTATTTCCGGTTTCCATTCATGTCATTCATCTCGGAGAATGACTTAGCCAGGTCTAGTCCCTCCTTGATTCCATTCCCAATTTGGATTCATTTTAAAATTCAAATTAATTTGCAAATGCAGATAATTCCTTTTTAAAATCAAATTTGGATAATTGGCTTCATTATAATTTATTTTGGATTCATTGAAATTCGTTAGTATTGTGATTTGGAAATTCAGATACATTCGAATTTCTCAATAATGAAAATTTTGTCCGAATTTCAAATCATGACAAAATAAATCACACATGTCTAATTTCCAGGTCTTGGCTCATTCTCTCTTTCAATGTTTTCTATTCATATATTGCCTCTATGTACTAATTCCTAATGCTCTTGGTAGGTAACACATTCATGTTCCACTTCTGTATTTGGTTGTTTGGCTTGGGTTGCTCTTTGGTAAAACCTATACCTTTCATTACAGTTGGGACTGGAGAAGACATGGCAGATGAACATGAACTCCTGCGTGGTCGAATGTCCTGTAAATTGCCAGCTCTCTGATTGGTCCCCTTGGTCAGCATGCTCGCAAGCCTGTGGACTGGCAGGTTGGGATTTATCTTAAACTGAAATTTACTGGAGTAACTGAATTTGGAAAGCTTTGGTACCCCTGCCATGGTAGACCTCATATCACCACCTCTCTGCACTGTGAATAATTGTCCATGTCACCCTTTCTCAATTAAGGATCCATGGAACTTAGGGTTCCTCTTGGGGCTGATTTCGAAATTTCCTTGAGCATTGACTTATGCATATTTGTCTATGTCAACCTCATTCTCATTCAAGGTTCCATAGAACCTTAGAGTTCTTCCTGGGGTTGCTAGGGGTTCCTTGAGCAGTGACCATCAACATAAGTGGTCACTTCTACACCGAACACCAAGTTTGGGGATCACCAAAGGAAGACTAGGTATTAAAAAATCTGCCATGGGTGTTCGATACTCTGCAAATCTAATATTATCTATTCTTTAATTTGAAATATTCCACAGCTTGACGCCAATGTTCCATAGAGCCATAAGTGTAGTCATTTTTAGCAGAGGTTCCCTGAGACATGAAAATTATTTCAATGGTTCCACTTGGGAAAAAAGGTTGAGAAGAATTGGTCGCTGTTATACCCAAAATGGCATTTAAAGGGGAGAGAAGATGCAGTAAGGGAAAGCCCTAAAAGAAGGGGGGGGGGGCTGATAAGAGGAATCTCTAAAAGCACACAATGTTATCAGAGCTTTGGTTGACAAAAAAATGGTTGACAGAGCAGCACATAACAAGGCTGCGTTTACAAGTGACCATTACGTTTTTGAGAGTTTTTTCTGGCGTTCTTAAAGCATTTTGAGCTTTGCCATTTTTTTTCTTATACACCAATAGAGAAAAATATCTGTTTCATCATTTGTTGCTATGTTTTTCAGCTTTTTCATCCACGTTTATTTATAATTGATTTATTTTTATTTTTTACTTTTTTGTAAGGGGTTAAGAGTTATGGTTGGGGTTATTTATTCATTAATTAATTAACTTATTTTTTATTTATTTCATTAGTTTAGAGATTAGGGTTAGGGGTTAGGATTAGAGTTAGGGGTCAATATTGGAGTTAGGGGTTCCGGTTAGGGTTATTTTATTTATCTTATTTAGTATTCCTATTTTTTATTATTATTAACTATTTATTTATTACTATTAATATTTATGTACGTGTTTCATTTATTATTAATTATTTTATTTCTTTTTATTTAATTATTGCATTTGAGCAGAAAAACTCTCAAAAACACGCATCAAAAAAAATGCGCGAATCAAGCATTTTCATGCATTTCCGTGGAACAAAAACCACAAAAATCTACCTGATTCGAGCTACAAAAATGTGAACCATCTCCTTAGAGAATAATAGATTTTTTTCCTCCTCCAGTGTTTTAGAGCTTTAATCTTCACATTTTAAAATGCTTAGGTTTGAATGGGACCTCAAAGGGGCACTAAAGGGGAAATGAAAGGGGTCAGTAAAGGGGGCAATATGCAGTAAGGTGATGAAATAAAAGGAGGAAGCAGTGAAGGAGCCCATAAAATTGGGGGGGGGGTGCAGAAAGTGAAGCCCTACATACCTGGGCCTCTGACACTTTGTTGTCTATGTTTGCACAGTCAGGACCAGGGGCGGACTGACAACTCATGGGGGGCCCCCGGGCAATAGGGGATCATGGGGCCCATGTGTCCTTGCCCAAACTCAAAAAAGTCTATGAAAAAGGTACCAGGGGCATCTCATGGGGCCCCCTACTGGCCCGGGCCCTCGGGCAGTGCCCGAGTTTCCAAATGGTCAGTCCGCCCCTGGTCAGGACGAAAATTGCCATACTGCGATGCGATATCATCAGTGCCATCTAGTGACTGACCACAATACATTTTTGTTTTCTGACTGAGGCATTTTTGGGAGAAAAAACACATTACCTCTAGGTGACTCTGACAATATAGGAACTACATACACATAGTAGAGAAAATACATCAGTTTTTGTCCTGATTGTGTGGATGTTTGTCACATTCACACAGAGAACATTTTATACATGATACATGGAGTCCCTTGTTTTAATTTTAAACTTAAAAGAAACATGAAATGGAACCGATAGAAATCAACCAGAAAAATGCTTAAAAAAGTTTATTGTAACCAGACTAACAATTGTTTGGGTATACTGTCCTAATATCTGAACAAACAATCAGACCATCTCTGATGTCAGAGGGGCCCCAGCTCTAGCCACCAATACTAATAAGCTGAGTCTTTCAGATGAATTGATTTCATTGAAAAATTTTGCCAAAATAGAGATTCTCAATCCCACTCATTGTGCTGCTTGGGCAAAATTTACTTTAAAAATTGTTCTCTACGTAGAGGGCATTGAGGGAGTTTTGCTGTAATTAAGATTTTTTTAGGGTCATTTTTTATTTCATTTACTGTTCTTTTATATTTGTTGGGTTTTTTTTTCATATTTTTGTGTATTTCATTTTTATATGTCCATAACTTTTCATTTTTATTTTCACAGTTTTTTTTCTTTCTGTGGAAAAAAGTAACATAACAGAGCCAGGAGAGTTGAAAAGACCTTCTGTAAACCCTAAGCACCATTTAAACCCCATTGCACCCTTCAAGACTTCGTCATTTTGTCTTCCCCATTAACTCAAAATTGCCAAAGCAATTTTTGCTAAAATTTTGGGAATTGGAAAACCTCAATTTCTCTCTTCCCTAGTCACCAACAAGAACTGTTACATCATGTCTTGTATGGGAGCTGAGTTCTTTTTACTGAAAGAAGGCGGCGCTCCCCCAACCAGCCAACGTGACACAACAGTAAAAAACGGCTTCAGCCTACATGTCTCCACCAAGAAACCACCCCCTTTGTCATGTTTTGCCCTGGTGGGCACGGCACAATGTGTCCAGGGGCCCGGTTTCTTGGCAAAGGCATGTAAGAACAAGCTGTTCTTTACTGTTGTGTCATGTTGGCTGGTTGGGGAACACACTGCTCTGGATGAGCACCTGGCATGCCTGCGCCCCTTCGTTCCTGTGGATCATGGAGTCCCCGACTTTGAGTGGCTCTCTAAGCATAGCTGAATTCTTTTCTTTGCAATAAAACACTGATAGGAAAGAGCAGAGGTACTTACAATGAGAGTTTCAATTATTTCTAGAAGATGACTGTTGCGAGGACCTCAACAATATAGGGCCTCCATGGTTTAACATTTTTCAAAAATTCACATAGGGACCTGCCATATGGGCTGATTATAATGTATGGTGTTTTGCTTCAGCAATCTAAGCTCTGGAAGTGTGCTCTGTAACTGATCCAGTTCTGGTGAGATGGTGAGATTTAACTTACAGTCTAGTAGCTTGGTAGACAGTGACTCAATGCAATGACATTTTGCAGATTATAAAAAGCTTTCATAAAAAAAACTTGTACAAATCTTCACAGATGAAAAAAATAATAGTGTGTCTAGACTATAGACCAGTGGTCTCCAAACTTTCTAAACAAGGGGCCAGTTTACTGTCCTTCAATCTTTAGAGGGGCCAGACTGTGGCCAGCGGGAGTAGAAAAAGTTCTGGTGTCAGTGGCAGTAAACAAAATGCCCCATGACTGGTGATAGTCGGAGGAATAGTGTCATACTATTGGTATCAGTGGGAGGAATAGTGCCCCATCATTGGTGTCAGTGGGAGGTTTAGTGCCCATCATTGGTATCAGTGGGAGGAATAGTGCCCATCATTGGCGTCATTGGGAGGAATAGTGCCCCATCATTAGTGTCAGTGGGAGGAATAGTGCCCCATCATTGGTGTCAGTGGGAGGAATAGTGCCCCATCATTGGTATCAGTGGGAGGAATAGTGCCCCATCATTGATATCAGCAGTAGGAATAGTGCCACGTCATTGGTGTCAATGGGAGGAATAGTGCCCTTCATTGGTATCAGTGGGAGGAATAGTGCCCCATCATTGGTATCAGCGGTAGGAACAGTGCCTCATTATTGGTGTTAGCGGTAGGAATAGTGCCCTATCATTGGTATTAGTGGGAGGAATAGTGCCCCATCATTGGTATTAGTGGGAGGAATAGTGCCCCATCATTGGTGTCAGTGGGAGGAATAGTGCCCCATCATTGGTGTCAGTGGGAGGAATAGTGCCCCATCATTGGTGTCAGTGGGAGGAATAGTGCCCCATCATTGGTATCAGTGGGAGGAATAGTGCCCCATCATTGGTATCAGTGGGATGAATAGTGCCCCATCATTGGTATCAGTGGGAGGAATAGTGCCCCATCATTGGTATCAGTATCATTGGTATCAGTGGGAGAAATAGTGCCCCATCATTGGTGTTGGTGGGAGGAATAGGGCCCCATTGTTGGTGTCAGTGGCAGAAACTATGCCCCACTGTTGATGACATTGAGGGAATAATGCCCCAAGGGTCGGATAATAATAAGGCCGCAGTTTGGAGACCACCGCTATATCCTATAGGCTAGACTAGCAGACTATAGCACATGTGATCAATGAAGACCAAAGCATGAGGAAGAAGAAGGGTGGGACTAACTACATAGAGCGTCCCCTAGCTACGGAATGAAGAAGGGACAAAATTATTTAGGCAAACAAACAACGATGAATGTGTAACAGAATATATTGACTTTTTTCATAAATTCCCTTTTAATTATTGAACTATATACATCATTTTCAAGTTATTCTTCCAAAATAATAATAATGAAGATATTTGCATTGCAGGGAAGATGATGCGAAAGAGAACTGTGATCCAGACTTCTCAGGGAGATGGGCGCCCTTGTCCTTTTCAGATGGAGCAGACCAAGCCTTGCCCGGTGAAGCCATGTTACCGATGGCAGTATGGACGCTGGTCCCAGTGTGCTGTGGAGGTATGGCATTTCTGAAATATTTCTTTGTAGTCATGCATAAACCGTGTAGCGTGCAACTCTGCTCAAAGCCAATAATTAAGTAGAGTACATTCGTTATCCCTACCTCCAGCATTTGGATAGCTGTCTTGGATAACCTCCATAATGTGCCTAATGCATTTATTTCCTATGATCGTCATCTCCATCTAGTGGCCATAATGTGGCATTTTCCTGAAATACCTCAATCAGGGAAATACTGCATTATGGCCACTAGATGGAGCTGACGATTAAAGGAAACAAACATATTAGGCAAATTAAGTGGATTATTCATGAGGGCTGTGTAAATGCTTGAAGCACTTTTTTTATAAATAGATCCCTACGTGTCAGAAAAAAGGGCTGTTCAATATAAATCTCTAGCAAGGATTCTAGAAAGAAAAATTCTATTACAGTACAATATCAGTCTTTTAACCATTTTTGGCTATATGTGGGAATGTGATCGGCTAAAAAGGACTGAATAGTAAATTATGCGTCAGAGTCAGGGCTTTTTTTCTCAAAAAATAGGTGCAGGAACTCCCCCCTTCTGAGTCCCTTTTTGTTTCCATCCCCCTACTCGCCTCCCAGCATGGCTCCTTTTAGAGAATACAGGGCCAAGTATTATTTTGTGGTGCTGAATAATTTGTATTAAATTTGTTATTTTTTTTTTTAATTTAAATATTTATTAGTTTTTCATATTATTACAAAAAATTTCATAAGAAGAGACACAATACATATAAATAATCAATACATTTCTACTTTGCCCCTTCTATTTACCCTCTTTTCTTTCCCTCCCCTCCCAACCCACTCTTCCCCCCCTTTCCCCTCCCTCCCCTCTGCAAGATCTCCAATCTCTCAAGGCCCAATAACTTTAAATAACTTCATAGTTTAAAATTTTCTATATTTCTCTTTCAATCCTGATTTTTCCCATTTTTTCCCCATTGCGAATAGTATATTTCCAACCTGTCTTCCTGGCTATAGTAAGATTTTTCCATTCTACTAATCTGGTTTACCCTATTGATCCAATCCTCCTCCATCGGCACCTCTGTCTTCCTCCAAAACTTGGGTATCAACCATTTTGCAGCACTTAAGTAGTACCATACACCTGATTCTTTATATTTATTTACTGTTGTCTCAACTTTATGTAGGAGACACATGGTTGGGTCAAATCCTATGTCATTTCCAGTTATTATTTCTATTAATTTAACTATTGTCTTCCAGAAAACCTGAATTTTTGGACATTGCCACCATATGTGAAACACCGTGCCCTCCTCCCCACATCCTCTCCAACACATTTTTGAATTCTCCCCCCTCATTTTGTGCTCAGTGCTCAGTGCCATCGTGTCAAACATTTATAGTTAATCTCAACATCTCTCATACTAACACTCTCGTGTACCAATCTAAATATCTTGTTCTGTTGATCCTCATCTATCCCCACCTCCATATCTCTTTCCCAATTTGTTATATAAATTAACTTTGTGTCTGTGTCTAATTCTGTGAGTATTCTATAAATTTTTGTAACACCGTGTTTCCCATCTCTACGTGTTTCTAATAGCCTTTCAAACATATTCCACTCCTTTTTTATTCTCAAGGGTTTTGGGAGGCTTCCAATGAAACATTTTAATTGATGATATTTTCACTCATCTATTTTAATAAACATATCTCCCCCCCCTCTCTTTTAATTCTTTAAATGTTCTCAATTCCCCCTCTACTAATACGTCTCTCAATTGGATATCTTCCTTTTTAAACCATCTCCCTGATATCTCATCTTTTCCTGGAGGGAAAAACTCCGTGTTTGCAAGAGGCATTAATATAGAGTTGAATTCCCATTTCATGTGTTTATGTAAGTTATCCCATGTCCTTAAAACATTTAAAGTGAGAGTGCTTGTGGTTTCTTTAATTCTTCTATAATGTGCTGGAACCCATATCATCTTACTCAAACTAATTCCACTCAGTTCATTTTCTATTTTTACCCAACTTTTTTGGTTAAAAGTCCAATCATAAATTCTTGCTAAAATTACTGCTTTATAATATCTCTTGACATCAGGTAGTCCCATCCCTCCTTTCTCTTTAGTCCTACTTAGTGTTTCGTATGATATTCTTGGTTTTTTATTCCTCCATATATATCTTGTTAACATTCTTCTCATTATCTTAAAAAATGCCTCTGGGAGTTTGATTGGGGTATTAAATTTGTTATTGATAACAAGAAAAGCAGAAAAATTGATCCCCTGCAGCCAGAAACAATTGACCCCCCCCCCACCCCAGCAACAACATGATTGTTGCTGATTCCTTCAGCAACAATGGACCCCCAAAACAAGATACCATCCCAGCAACAATAGACCCCCCCCCCAGCAACAACAGATTCCTTCAGCAACAATGGACCCCCCCAAAAAAAAAAATACCATCCATCCCAGCAACAATAGCCCCCGAGCAGCTACAACAGATCCCCCAACAGCCAGAATCAATAGACTCTCCAGCAGCAATAAACCCCTCCCTCAACAGTAGATCCATTACAGCAACAATTCCATCAACAGTAGATTTCCCACCAGCAACAATAGGGCTCCCCGGCAACAATAGACCACCACACGAAAATATATCCCCTTCAGTGACAATAGATCCCCCAGCATTCATCAACAATAGATCCTACAGTACCCCTTGCATTACATACATTCAGTGATGGAGGTGCCGGAACTGCGTTCCCCTGAGTTTCCGCTGAAAAAAAGTCCTGGTTGTAGTGCTAACCAATGGTTGTGCTTTACCTAACCTTTCCCCTATCACAGCCCTGACATTGACTCTCTGGCCATCGTGGCTGCCCTGGCCAGAGTGACGTAATTCAGTCTCATGCATGCAGTTCATTTATTGACAGATGCCAAGACTGTACACCAAGCTCAGCATGCACATCTTAAGATGTTTGTGGGAAAGAAGGTAAAAAATTCTTTATTGTAGAAGAAGCATTGTAGTGTTCAATTACTAAAGAAGCAGAGCATGTCTACTTTGGATGGGAATTTTCACTTAGCATAGTGACAGTGTTGTAAGTAAATAAATATAGCTGAGTGTAATATGAGACCTGAGTGTAGGGAATGGACACACCCCCAATTACACAGTCTCATAGAGAAACATGCACAGTTGAGACTGTCAATCACCTGCTATGTGCTGTGGGGAGGGTTGTCCCTTGGGATGGCTTGGTTTCGGCCTAGACCAGTGGTCTCCAAACTGCAGCCCAGGGCCAGATGTGGCCTTTGCTTGCTTTTATTCAGCCCTTGGGGCACTATTTCATCCACTGATACCACCAATGGGGTATAATTCCCCCCACTGACACCAATGAAGAGACACAATTCCTGCCAATGACACCAACAAAGGAAACAATTCCTCTCATTGTCAACAACGATGTGGCCCAATTTCTCTCAGTGATGCTAACAATGGGGCCCAATCAGGGGCGGACTGACCATTTGAACACTCGGGCACTGCCCGAGGGCCAGGGTCAGTAGGGGGCCTCATGAAATGCCCCTGTTACCTTTCTTAAGTGTGCTTTGAGTCAAGGACACAGGGGCCCCATGATCCCCTATTGTCCGGGGGCCCCATGAGTTGTCAGTCCGCCCCTGGGCCCAATGACACCAATGATGAGGCACAATCCCTTCCAATGACACCAAAAATTGGGCATTGTTTTTTCCAACTGATGTCAGGACCTTTTCTACTCTCAATGGCGACAGTCCGGCCCCCCCTAAGTCTTAGGGACAGTAAACTGGCCCATTATTTAGAAAGTTTGGAGACCCCTGGCCTAGACTGTCAGAGGTGACAAATGCAAATAGCAGAGGAATAAGAGCAGGCAGAAATTATACAAGCATTTTGGATTGAGTCAAGTACACACAAAAGAGGGGTATGCTTTGTTCATTTTTCATTTCAGAGGGTTTACAAACACTTTTAGGTGGAAAAGTGGAAATGCTGAAAGATTGTCTGTTCAGAAGCAAAAAAGCTAAAAATGTTTCAGCTCTTCGACTCAACCCCCATGCTGATGTTCAACCAGGGGCGGACTGACAACTCATAGGGCCCCCGGGCAATAGGGGATCATGGGGTTCTTGCCCAAACTCAAAAAAGCCTATGAAAAAGGTACTAGGGGCATCTCATTGGGCCCCCTACTGACCCCGGGCCCTCGGGCAGTGCCCGAGTTTCCAAATGGTCAGTCCGCCCCTGTGTTCAACTGTGATAGACTGTTTTTAGACGAGCAAACATTTGACTTGAATTCAAATTGAAGAGACTCTCGTATCTCGTATATAGTTGGCCATTAATAAGAAAATATACCCAACTTTTATCGGATGCCCCACTCCACAGTTATTATTCGGATCAACCCCGGTATCTTCATATATATCCCATGTATTTGTAGCCCACACAGCCTGATTGCAATCACAGCGCTCCATTTACCTGCAGAGCACAATGAAGAATAATGTATATCCGGTAAGGTAACCTAACTCTCCAATAAAATGCAAACCCCTCTAATCGGCGGTAAGATCTATCATCAGCAATCATGTGATTACCGCGTTCCCTCTAGATTCTGGAATAACAGACATGAGTCGTTGCTTAGCAGATTTGCAGGTAAAAGCATTTTCCCCGTCTGCCGGCGTGCGTTACATTGTAATCCAATCTGGAAATGGCACGTGAAATCCCACAGGCTCCTCGCCACAAATACATCTGTACTGGGTTATTTCATCGTATTATGCTCAATAAATGACAGACAAGTGCTAAAAAATAAAATCGACCAAGGAGCTGCACACTGCAAAATGTCTGTTAGCATTGCTTAGGAGGAAGGCTATAATCTTAACCACTTCCTGTCCGGACACTTTTACCCCCTTCCTGTCCAGGCCAATTTTCAGCTTTCAGCGCTATCACACTTTGAATGACAATTGCGCGGTCATGCAACACTGTACCCATATGAATTTTTTAGCATTTTTTTGAGTCAGATAAAACTTTATTTTGGTGGTATTTATTCACCACTG